ATGGATTCTCTAAACAAAATACATTAGAACAAGAAGGAATGAAGCTTAATACTTCTGCTAGCTATTCTTGTGTTGCTAGGAGGACAAGGAGCCATGAATTGTTAAATCTGGCCTCTTTCCCCAGTTCTTTGAGTTGCAATAACATTGAATTGCAGAAATTAATCCATGAAATATTAGATTGTTTTGTGAGATTTTATTTGTTTGGTTTTTTTTTTTGTTTTCTTCTTTCCCTCAACCTCCTCCAATTCCAGTATAATAAACCCTGCAAAGAAAAAAACCTAAGAAGTGACCAAAAGTCTATTTATTCCCATGTCTTGTCTCTGGTGGCAGAAAAATTTGTCAATAGATCTAAAAAGGAGAAAAAATGTCTTTAGAAAGTATTGTTTGCCTAATTTTTGTTGTGTAAATATAGCACGTTTAGTTTATAGCAGTGTAAAATATACAAAGAGGAGGTGAGCAACCTCATCGCTATAGTCAGCAAAGTAAAAACTTCATCCAGATGGAGTAAATGATCTAAGGCAGATGTTCTACTTGGATGCAACTCCAAGTTTGACCCTGTTTTCAAGCAGAAATGAAAAAAACCAGCAGAATAAGAATGTATCATTAATACTAGAGAGATTCTGGTGTTAAGTATTCAAAATTCTTTCATATTTAAAATGTTTAAATACATCACCCTCTCACACATCCCAACTTCTAAAAATAAAATGAGAATTTTTGTCCTTCTCATAAAACCTTCGCCTATGTGATAAACTCTTTTCTTTCACAGAGGAACAGGTTACTTAAGAACAGCTTCTGCATGATTTCTCAGGAACAAACTGCTATCACTGTTATGATATGTTATGACGTTTTCTAATCACAGGTAGACTATTGCAGAAAACCTTGAAGCAATTTGAGCTTATCTTATTAGAATCAGTGGACAATTCCCAGGATACTGTTTTTTCCTTAAGACTTTTTTTCAAATATATAAGAATATTTTCAAAAAAATATTCAATTTGATAGCAGTTAAGTGATAATTCCCCTGAACACAGTGTTATGGGTTCTTTGGAATAAGTATGTAATACGTAAAAACTAATAATCTGGTTTTGCTACATTTGACAGTAGATTACTTGAATGAGAATGAAAATTAGAGTATAGAAGATACTATTTCAGAACAGACTATAATTAGTCTAATATATTTCTCTTTCTGTTTATTTCCCACTCTCCATCCATGGTCACCTTTTTTTTTTTTGTCTTTAGCACAATCAGTTGTCACAGGTTGCACCTACTATTGTACATATAGGGACAGCAGTGTAGTTATCTGAGGCGGCAAATTGTTCTTTACACAGATACTCAGCTTTCTTTCTACTGCAGCTCTTGTCAAAGTAGTAAATATTTAAATAATGCAGTTGTAAACCTGGGAAAGAGGTGCAAGTTTTATATCCTTAAAGCCACAATCTAAGTTCAAAATCTCTATGTTTTGTACATGCTAGAGCGGCACCCATATGTCTCTGATCAAGACTTTTACTATGGTTTTATGGTGCAAACAAAAGCTGCTGTTATTTCTGAAATATAAGCAATGTCACCTGAGAAACAAATTGCTCTTATTGCAAAGAAAAAAAAAAAAAGAATATTGAAGTCACACATATGTTTGTATACATTCTACTGAAATAGGAGCAGACATTTAAGTCAGAGCCATGGAAAATAAATTTAAAAATAAAAATAAAAATGTATGCACTTAAGCTGGAACTGTCCTTTAAGGTACCTACTTACTCTTTTTTACTCTACTGAATCACAAGGTTGTAGTCTCTTAACAGTTCCATGTGCTTTACTTCTCTCAGGTCACCATAATCCATTGCTCCCTGGAGAAGAAATATAACACAAACTTAAGAGAGATAGAAAACAATCACTTCAGAACAGATAAAGAGGCAGGAGAAGGAAGGATTACTCTAACTACTTGGACACTATATTGATACTTAAAAGTTCTTGCCTTTGACATAGTCTTCTTGTAGGTTTGGACAGGTTGCGTAAGAGTGTCTGATGAGAGTAACCAGGTTCCAAACACTGATGGTTCTTGATGTGGCCTGATAACTTCTTCTCAAGGTAGGATCTTCCTTGCTTTTAATTCCTTCTCTGAAAAGTTGGAATAATATATAGCTGCTTCAGGGGGATGTTCTCTCTCCTAATTGCAAAAAATATGCCTCTCAACATAAAGAGCAGCATTTCAGTGAGGGAGAACTTTCAAACACCTTTGGGAGAACTCAGGTAGAAGGAAAAGAAATAAATGGAACTTGGGTGTTTATTATAGACAGGAAGTATCATGTACAAAAACCAGTTACAAGTCTGACAGAAAATTATAGCTTATTTGCTCTGGTTTGTCCCTTTCAAAAGTGATTTCTGATCAGGAAGGAAACCTGCATTGTAGAAGCCTGTGTGATTTGTGATATTCTACTATCAAGGATTATCTTACCTTGTTTCATCATCATAAAACCCACCTGTGGCTTGGAATAAAACAAAATAAAAGAGCTTTTGAATATCAGCATCATTAGGGAACAAAACATTTAAGTTCCCTCAGGCGAGCTGGAGAGCCAAGGAACAAAGGTCTGCCTTCTTGGCGGGAGGAAATGTGTTGCCTTCCGCCATCCCCTGCTAGCAACATGAGAATGTATACTCCTGTAGTCCTTTACCTTGGCTTTCCTTTAAGAAGCAAAAAAATGTCAGCCTCCTGAAGGAATCCAGCTACATCCAAATTAAATACGTGTGATTAAGGACCTGCTCGAATATCACTCTCATGGTATTATCCAACCTCTCCCTTTGGCTGCTCTGCTCCAGCTAGACTGCTTCGTGCAGCATTAGTGGAGTTCATTAGTTTCTGAGACTGGGCTTTACATCAAACACTCCACATCTAGAAGAATATGAAGTACACCTCTGGGGAAAGTGAAAAATCTAGCTTCAAGCACCTTTCACTCATGTATTTGGTTCAGCATTTTGTCTGTCAAGAAAGGATTTTGCCTATCATTTACAGCAATACTTATCGTGTTGGTCATTAAACGATAGAAAATTTGTATGAGCTAGGGTAATTGAAGAGTTAATTTAATGACAAAATACATTTAGTACAGAGGGGTTCCTTCCCATGTTTCCAACAGGACTCCAAGGAGATGCAAGTTCAGTGCAAGAGAAGGTTTTATCGAAATAAGTTGACCTACCTTTTGTCGAGTGATGCTTCAGGAGCTCTTGAGGTTTTTGTCAGTTCTGCATGGTTCATGAGTTTCCAGCTCATCCTTTGTCATTGCATCCTCCACTTTCTCAGGAAGGAGAGCAAGGACAAGTACAAGCAAGTGGTTTTAACAGGACATGCAAGAAAACACATAACCAACCTTTGAAATTTGTTGCAAGGATTGTTAAAATCTGGTGGTCTGTCGAAGTTTAAGGCTGGGCTGGCCACTAAACACCTTTTGTGATCCCCTCACCATCCTCCCAGGGAAGAATAACAAGAGAACCAGGGAGAAAGACTTCAAGGTTGGAAAAAAACCCTTGAACCTATTTAATGAAAAAAAATACTAATAACAACAACAAAGACAATTAATTATATATATATATTACTCAAGTACACAAATATATTCAAATATACGAGGACAGGCTGCGGGAGCTGGGATTGTTCAGTCTGGAAAAGAGAAGACTTCGGGGGGACCTAATAGCTGTCTTCCAATACCTGAAGGGAACCTACAGGAAGGCTGAGGAGGGACTTTTTACAAGAGTGTCCACTGATAGGACAAGGGGAAATGGGTTTAAGCTGAAGGAGAATAGATTTAGATTGGACCTTAGGAAGAAATTCTTCAGTACGAGGGTGGCAAGACTTTGGAATAAATTGCCCAGAGCTGTTGTGACTGCCCCCTCCCTGTAGGTGTTCAAGGCCTTGAGTATCATGATCTAGTTGAGAGGCGTCCCGAGCTAGTTCAGAGGCGTCCCTGCCCATGACAGGGAGGTTGGACTAGATGATCTCTAAGGTCCCTTCCAGCCTAGGCCATTCTATGACTCTATGAATATGGACCCCCTACCTTCTAGATAGCAACTTGGTCCTGAGTGGAAAAGTCCCAGATTAGACTTGGCAGCAGACAGGAGTGGCTGAGCCCAGAGTCCCAACAATAGTCCAAAAAAACAAAACAAAACCCACAAACCCCAGAAGTAGCCTTGGAGCTGCCACACCCCTCCCACACAGAAAGGCAGGGGAAGACAACCTGCTCCATAAACTGGTGCTTCTCTGCAGTGTGGAAACAGGAACATCAGCAGTACTGAAAGAAACAATAAACAACTAAAACCAACCCTCCCAGGTTTAGTACCTCTCCCCAGGGATCTTCTAAGGAGTCCTTATATACTGACCACCATGGGAAGGAATGCTGTGATTGGTCCATTTGGGTCACCTGTCCCATGCCGTGATTGTTCCATTTGGGCCACCTGACCCATCCTCTCTTTCCCACAGGCACAGCTGCCCCCTACATCCCCCACTGTGATTGCCCCTTTGCAAGGAGCCCCAGAGAACTTGTATCCTGGTGCTCTCAAACCAGGACATGGTCTTAGCTGTTAGTCAGAGACATTTCCGGTCAGTCAGTTGTTTTCGCTGAATTAATCTTCAGAACTACATTCATCAACTCCAGAATATACCCCAAAATTTACTGTAAATAGTACGTTAAAGACAATTCCAAAAATAATTTTAAAGCTATTCACTACAATGATTTTTTTTTCTTTAGCGATTTCTGATTTTTACTGCATCTTACAGGCAAACCAATAGCCTAACCTTTGGCTGAATTCCTATGAAACAGTCGTTCTGATAACAGTTTATTGATGTTGATTTCTTATTATTTAGCATCTGGTTTTGACATTAATTACTTAGCTTGTATAGCAATGAGTGTCACAAAGTAAACAACAATTTCCATTACAGAAAGCAAAAGTCAACCAACAACAAAAAATACAGTAAAACTGTTAGAAAACAGAAACTACAAAATTATTTTCCTTCAGTTACAGAAATGGACTGCCATTTTTCTGTCTGGGGAGTTTTGGCCTTTCTGAGTTTGGCTTTGGTTGTTTCGTTGATACTGAATATTTCATACTGTATGAAGAAGAAACAAGGTAAGTAGCGTCTTTCTGTAAGGCATGGAGTTTGAAGTAGAAAAAGACATCACTCCTGGGAGAATTTCAAGCCAAAAAATTGATTCTCTGGAATCCTAAAGTGGCCTTGTGACAAGAATGATTCTAGCACAGAGGACATAACTTTTAAAAATTTTTAGGAGACTTAGTCAGGTGTAATTACAGAATGATTGCTAGCTGCCCAAATAACTACCCATATCCATTCTCTGAAGACAAGCCAACAGAACATATACAAGGTGAAGAATTTAGTTCTGGATAAATTTTAATTTTTAAAGTATATTTTTAATATCTCTGATTCCCTTTTAAGTGTACTTTTCATGTAACTGGTTAGTATTTGTACTTTAATTTAAGAAGTATTTTAAGTAGCTGCACTGATACAATATACATTTGAGAAAGTTTTCTCCTCCCAAAATTCCTGAGTGCTTATCTGAATTTGAGATTTCATACACATCTCACGCTTAATCAGTTTGTTTTGGAAAAAAAGTTCTAATTGCTTTTCATCATGAGATTCTAATGTAGCTTTTAAATCAGTATGTCACTCACAATAAGGAATTGCTTTGTTTAATTTATGTTAAACGGGGACCACAGTCATACTCTGGTTAAAATCAACTGTGAGTTTTTTAACAAAATTGATTATGCCAGTTCAACCTCTCTTATACATACAATTTCACGGTTATTAAGTTGTACAATCCTCGCCACTCCCATTCAGGGAAAAATTGCCTTTACACAGGGAAATCTGCACCTGTGCTGCATGTGTGTGGATGGGCAGGCAAGCACCGGTGGGCTCAACCACCTTAAACATGTACACACATAAACTACATAAACAGAAGGCCTATGCTTTTAAACTAAACTCACCAAGTGTAAGAGCATTAGATTATTACATTATATGAAAAGAGATGCAATAGATTTGTTGAATGGGGGATGACGTTTTGGTTTATTTTCTTTTAGTTCTACCAGGCAGATACTTCTATGATGAAAATTCACAGTCATTTACAAAATTAACCTTGAGCAAGTTTTCAGTCCAGTGGGCTGGTGCTGAATTGCTCGTGGAATCAGAGCCTACAGTGGTAAATTCTGGAGTTCTGGAGCAGAAGATAGAAAGTTAAGCATTCTTGAGTTGATTGATCAAATTCTAGCAATAAATCTCATTGTAGGCGTTGCCTTTCACTGGATAGCTGTCCTTCAGAGACATAAGTAATAGGGCTAGTAAAATAAATAAACCCTTCACCTTGAAATATAAACACATGATGTACCTCACCAGGCAGAGAATAAGATGTGGTAGAAACAGAAGGAAATAAGGAATTAATTGCACTTGTAACAATGCATTTTTGCGGTCTTGTAAACTGATGTAGACTTTGCAGCCACAGCACAGGGTCATAATAGAAACATTTCTTGTATTACTCAAAAGTATTTGAGAAAAGCAGGAGGGGGTGGAAACTGAAGGTCCTGAGAGCCAAGAGCTTTCGATTTTATTCTTGACGATGAAATCAAAAGCATGTCAGTTGAGACAATTACCTGAAGTGTTCTAAACCAATATGTTTCATTTTCTATTTTTTAAACAAATTTTCCAGCTAAAATGTGTAAAGACTATGAAGACAACAGTCCAAGGTAAGTTGGATAAGAAAAGTTTCTTTCTAGTAAGAGCGAGATAAGCAATAAATAATGACAGATGGCTTTGGAGGGACAGCAGAGAGGAAAATCCAGTATCTCATGCAGCCTGACAGGAAATGGCAGAGAACAGGATGACTGTATGAAAAAAGTTTTCCAAAAAACCCAGGAAAAAAAAAATCATGTGAGAGAGATGTACTCCAGTTATTTTATCAACAATGAACTAATTGCATACTAATGTGATAATTTTATATATGAAGGAAGAGCATGATATTGAGCTAAAACAACATTTACTATGACTCAAACTCGGTCAATCTATAATAATTTAAAAGAACTTTCAGAAAACAATCATAAACTCTAGTCTGATATTTAATATTTGTGGAATGATAATTTAGATATATTTACATTTCATACCCTTTTTTTCACACGTGACATTCAAAAGCAATAAAATGGAGTCTGTTTACAGCTGCTGGATACCTCATGATCTGTTACAACTCTGTCTCTTTTATTCCATATATAAAACTGCCAAACTTTAAAAAAACAGAAATGGAAAGAGTCTAATCTCAAATATAAAAGAAAAATATGAAAGCCTTCACCTGTTCCTCTAAACCAATCCTCAATTACAAGTTTATCTGAAGTTGAGAAGTTTCTGTTTGCCTATTACTGCTTGTTTAGTTGAAAAATACCACTGAAAAAGTGGTGCTAGGTTGCATTGCTTTATTCCCTTGATGAGGCATAGTATAGGGATGCAGTAGGAACAAGATTACACAGTGCTTCCCACTAACAATTCCTGTTTTATGAACATGCTTAAAAACATTTTCAAGCAATATCAGGTAAGGAAATATAGAATACCATTAAAAATCCAAAGCTGAACTTTGCTTTGGTCATCTCCAGTTGTGTTGACATAAGTGTTTTAGTTGAGTCAAGAGTGGACTTTTTAATATCTCCCCAAAAGAGCCATTTAGTGCTTTAGTTTGTATGTGAAGTGGCCTCAGAGGACATGAACTGTGCTCCTTTTAGTGACCATTAGTATTTCTAGAACTACATGCAACAGTAGTTTAGTAGTCCCGAGATTAGCTTTATACTTAACTGAGTTACACGAAAGAAGAGTTCAACTCTTGGCTGAAACCAGATCTCTCTTTAGAATACGGACATTGCCATTACTGCCCCCCTTTATATTTTTGGTCTTGTTTTTTAGATCACATACATTGTGCTATTGCTACACGTGTGTAAAAGGTTTAGAGTAGAATAGTGGGGTCCTAAATAAAGTGTATACTGTGAGTTGAAAGTATTTTTCCCATTCCCCTTCTAGCTATGATGACTATTACACACAAGACGATCCAGTTTATGGCAATCTCAACCAAGGTACATTTGGTAAGCTTCACTTTAAAAACATGTGTCTGTTCCGAGGCTATAATAAACACATGGTTAAAAACTGTCTAACCCACATTTTCTGTGTTTCTCAAATAGCAAACCTGAGAAACTACCCCTTTTCTATTGTTGCATTAATACCTACCTGAGATAGAACTGCAAACCCTCATACTCCATTACTACTTTTAAGACCAGATCTCATACTGAATTGGATTTTTTTATGGTCCAAATAGTCCAGTTCAGCCAAATATCTCAAAAATCAAGAGCTTTTCTACATGTAACCTTCACCAGATGAAATAACAGCTTTATCCATGCATGTTAAATCACTCTTATGACATGTATTACTTGCTGCCCAAAGTCAGTGCTCCCACAGAAGCTGGCAGACACAAACACGTACCAGTTTTCTGCTGTGGCTATCCACAAATCATCAGCGATGTTAACAAACATACTCAAACAAGACCAATGGCTGAATGTTGGACAGACGTAGCTTTTCTCTGCTTTACTGGGCTGAAATTGGTAAATCTTGGCAGAGGGTTACCACATTAAAGGCGGTAACAACATAACTGCAGCTAGAGCTAGATATGCTGAGGGTACGTCTCTCAAATCCCTTACGGTGTTAAAGCCATATTTAACTAACATGGACGTAACTATTTTGCTAGCCTTATTTGGGATTAAGCAAAACTAAAGTGCTTGAACTTCAGGGAAAAACATAAATAATCAAGCACAACCTTTTCATACAGTGTTTGCATGAATTTAGCTAAACCAAGAGTCAAATGCATTGACACTACACAATTCTGAAAACTGCAAGGAAGTAATCTGTTCTACTGGTGCCTAAAATGACATGAAAAAAATAACTTGCACCAAAATTTACAGAAAACTGAAAATCGAGTCAGGAATAAAATTTAATCACCACCTGCTGCAACACACAGCCTCTTTCTCAGCCAAAGATTGCCTATGCTGAAGAAAATGTCAGTATGTGGTTACCAGCTAATTGCAAGATATCCTTCCAGCAGTCGAAAATCATGTCTGCTTACCGAATAACGAGAAACTTCTCCTCACATGAACACAAAATAGTTTTCATTTTCAGCGTAGGCGTGTCTGAATTTCTCAGCTATTTGCCCCTCTACCAAAGTAAGCTGGGGGGGAGTTAGTTCTCTAGCAGGGAGGATTTGTTGGTCTGATCTTTTGAGACTAAATAGCATGCCTTAGTAACTAAAACATTTTTCTACTTTGATAAATTATAGAGGAATGTTGTTACGAGCAGATGAAGTCCCAGCCTCAAAGGCCAGTAAACCAGCTACAGGTATTTTTAACTTTAATTCTGAAATTTGAATTACAGTAATGGTGACCATCTCAGAGTTCTTGTGTTTATCCCATGGCAATACCTAACAAAATTCTTCATACTGCTCAGCAAAACAATAAACGTGCGTTAGTGTTTCAGTTCATCGGGGAATTTAATCACAGACTCGACCCTTCGTTCAGTCTAGGTCATTAATGAAGGTGCAGGATTATAGACAGCTCATTTCCATCCATATGACATGATAAAGCACAGTCACAGACATGCAGATCAGGCTGAATTAAGCCTGCGCCTACTGCAATGGCTTACGTAAAGAAATAATTTTGTTTATTTTGTACATCGACAAAGTGAAAACGCAAGCTGCATGACATCATAATCATTAATTTGATTGTCTCTCTCCTGCCCAGCACAAAATCTATATGGCCTAACAAATAAGCTTGTATTTTGTTGAAATACCTGGATGCCTAAAAGCATGCAAGTTTCAATTGCAATTTGTCTGCAATTGAGGCATTCCTAGCATCAATTTCCCGAGTTGATTTCCAGGTATTTCATAAGGAGGACTGATTTTTAGCCTCATTCTCAGAATACTTCCAGGGAGTAAAAATATCATTTTTCAAGTCATTATTTAGGCATTTCTTTTCATTATCTTCATGGAAATAGAATAATTCATGAAAATTCCAATGTCAAAAGTACATGACAACCTTGCTTAAAAAGCACAGAGAAAAGCAGGGGAAAGACACACAAAGCATGCATTTTGCACTGGAAATGAAATCGTACATACAGAGTGTTCTAACTCATCTTTGGTTTTCTGCACAGACAAAGCCTGAGACAAATGTTGTTGCTAACTGGATTCTAATTAAAAAAAAAAACAAAGTGGGAAGAAAAACAGATCAATGTCTTGCATCCCAAAGAACATGGACTGATTATATAAGCTACCCTCATTCCCACAGAGAGTCTTTCCAATAATACCTTCATTAATTTTTCCTTGCTGCCATTATCCTAAGAACACGAGTCATTTACTATTAGGCTATGTTGATCTGTTTTTTGTGCTGCCACAGCTTAATCTTTTATACATTTAATGGGTTCGTTTACAGCTGCTTTGGGTAAACTTCAGCCATTATTATGACTCCAGTGTTGCCATACTTAAAGCATACTTTAAAGCAAGCATAGCTATTGAATGTTAAACGTAAAGTGAATTCTTTTCTAGGTGGAGACTGCTAATCAGATGTGTTATGCGTCACTTGATCACAGTATCAAGGGAAAACGCAGGAAACCGAGGAAAAAGATAGACCCTTCATTACAGGAGGACAAAGAAGAAAGATCATCTAAGCCCACCACAGTGGCTTCCAAAGCTTGTATTTACCTCAACAGTGAGCAGCTGGCTGCTGAAAACCCGGCAAGTGTAGAAGCCATTCACGACGATCCCATCAGATTAATGGGTTTGATTCATACTACATGAGGAGAGAACGTGTGAAGTGGCTTCACAAACCAAATATGTAATTCATAAATTGAGATCTGCTTGTTCACTCTGGAGGAACAGTCAATGATTAGCCATAATACTCTGGCAAACTAAACTGGCATACCAAGCAATGGTACAAAATGGGTAAGTGTTCCAAAACATCTTGCAAGCTTATTTACAAACTAAGCAAGAAATAATATAGATCCAGACTGCCATGCTGAAGGACTTCACCCTCTGATAACATTTTGAAAGGGAGTTGTGGAAGCTGATATCTCAGTATTCACATCGTATTTATTCCAGTAAAAAAAAAAAATCATAAAAAAAATAAATCAATCCTTTGTTTAAAACCATCAACTTTCAAACTGTCCCAAAAGACCCACTCAGTTGTCTGTAGAGCTCCAGCAGAGTATAACTATTCTTCTATATAGGTTTTAACAAAACTTTTGGAAGGAAATTGTGTTTCATACTTGCACACTTAACGATTTAGTTGTTTTCCCAATTAAAAAACTGATCTGCTCTTCGACATCGTGTACTTTCCCACTGTGACTGGTCTATGGTAATAACAAAATATATATAAAGCTAATTAGAGAGTAATTTAGCAGCTTGTTTAAGGTAGTAATTGTACATCTCACAAGATTTAAGAGTATCCTTGTATATCTTTAGTTTCCTTCTGTGAGCAATACCAGAATACATCTCAAAACTCTTCTACTAACGTAATGTTGTAGCCAGCTGTATACAAGAGTCTGCAAAGAAATTAGCCAATGATCTGTAACAATAAATCTCCTAGGGAGGATTTTTTCCTTCTAACATTCTATATGATGTTTACATTCCTCCTGGGTCTTACATTGCCAATTTACAAAAGCAGAAAGGGTTTTTTTTCCCCCAAATAATTCACATACTATGCACTCATTCATCCTAAGACATTAAACTCATTAGATTGTGAGCTTTTATAGAGTGGAGATTTATTTTTGTACTCTGCGAGTCATTAAGTAGTAGCAGGAAACAGTAAGATGTGTTGATGCAATATGCCTACTTCTATGTGTTGAACATTCTGCCTTCTGAAAACCTGAATATTAGTGCCTTTAAAATCCAGAGTACAGTGTCAAGGGGCTTGAAACTCTCAAGCACATGCAGAGCCCTGCAAGTGTTTCAGCATCTGAAGGAGATAGCCCAGTAAGCAGTCACAACAAACAAAATAAAAAAATAAAAAGCCCATAGGAGAGATGTTGGCTCTTTGTACTAAGAGAAGTGGATGGACATGGCGAAAGATGGGAAAAATTTATCAAGTGAAAAAAAAATGATCTGGTTGTATCTCTTATCCTGCTGTGATCCGATTGGTAAATTGGTGGTAGTTTTGATGTTTAAATTCATGTTTCTTCTAAGTCTAATTTTTTGGCCTGTGACCATAATTGGTGAGTGAGCCCTCCCTGTCATTAGCTTCAACTCTCAAGCCTTTTGTTATATTTTCTCCTCCTCATTCCACAAAGGAGCAGGGTAGGAGCAAGCAGTTGTGTGGTGTTAGTTGCAGGCTGGGTGGTTTCAAATCACAACTACCTCTTAAAATTCTTTCAAAGTAGTTTTCATGGAGACAACCATTCCCATGTTGTTTAAACTAACTTACCTTCTTACCTGGGCAAGCCTGCATTCAGGTTGCTGTTTAGAAGTAACATCTAGAGTCAGAACATGTCCAAAACCCTATTCCAGTTTAAGTTACTTTAGAACAGGAAACATTAATGGAGTTATGTGATCCCACAGTACTGGTGTTTCAAGAAATACTGGGAAATAATTACCTCAACAAATCCAAGGGGAAGGTAATTCACATATCTGGAACAGGAATAAAAATGAGCCACAGAAGCATTTCTAAAAGACAATCCTGTGCTGCCGTTGTTGAAGGAAACAAAAAATACAAACAGCGAGGGGTGGAACGCATGCGTGTATTGCAGAAGTTCCGGTCTTACTACAGACTTCACTACAGCTAGCTTCTTGTCCACTTGAGAATGACAGTTAAGATATAGAGATCTTGGTTTTAAGAGCTAAAATAACATAAAACTCCTGTATGCCCAGAAACTAAGTAAATCCAAAGGAAATTTATTTTTCCCTTTCTGGAGCTCAGAAAGCTGGCAAGAAGCAGTGCTGACACAATGGAGTATACTTGACCCGACATCACTGAAACAATCTCCTTGCCAAGAAAGAACATAGCAATGAGAACCTGCAGGCTTCTGCCACATGGCTCGCATGTATTTGCTGTAGGTATACAAACTCCTCCTGAGGATTCACATACCTGAAATGAAATGTTGAGAGCAGGTATTTGTTCAGAAGAAGCTTTTATTTAGAACAAAACAGAGCTATCAAACTCACTAAAACTAATAAAATTTAGTTGAACAATCAACTTTGGTAAGCTACTTAGAAAATTTAACATAGCAAGCATAGTACAAGTCATAACATATAATACTGCATTTGGCTCATCCAGCCCAGTTTAGATTTTTTTTTTATTCATTTAATACTCATACATCTATAAAGCATGAATAGACAGGAATTTAGCAAAAAGAGCTTGTTACTTATCTTATTAATAATACACTGAGAATCAAAGCTTATTAACAGGTAAGAAGATAATACCAATCATATTCTGTTATCACAAACATTACTAAAAACATAATTTCAACTTAGCCATCAAAAGGAAGCCTGATCCCCTGGCAACACGTGATGAAGCTAAAGGAGCAAGAAGTGCCCTCTCAGAAGGGAAAACTCAGCTCCTGAAGGCTTATATTAAAGGGAGGTATAAATCAGGACTAACTGTATATTAATTGCATATAATACCTCCTCCTCTTAGAAGAAGGAAACCAAAACACTCCTAACAATACTGTTTAAACCCAAACTTTGTGTTTAATTTTTTCTCTGTGGCAGTCCGTAAAAGCTTCTTTGTGAGTTTTGACCAGGAAGTCATACGAGGGATCGATAGAATTTTAGTCTTTCCCGTCAGTGTAGCTTAGTTTTCTTGATACCCTATAAAAAAAAACCAAAACAAAGCTGTTTAGATGATAAAGTAAACTACACAAAAATACTATGCTTGCTGAAACTCTGATGACCAGAATGAAACTGAAACCAATCACCAATGCAAAATATTTGAACATCTTGCACTGTGAACAGCAGCAGGACTCCTTGTCTACATTCCTACACACTTCCTGCTGGAAACTCCATCCTACGTCATTTTAATGTCTCAGCCATGCTACTGCATTAACTTAAATTACATAAATATCTATTAAACTTTCAGAAGTGATCTTTGAATGTATACACAAATAGCTAAAAATTTAAATATAGAAGTGAGAAAATATTTCCTATGCATATTACTTAAGAAATAGCATATATTTTAACATGTATTTTAAACTATTTTTGTTTACATCTGACAATTAAGTATTGCTGTACAGCTGTAGGGCAGCATCCACACTGAGCTGAAGAAAACGTTATTAGTCATGAACATTTCCTTTTCTGAAACACCTCTTTCATAATCGTCTTCTAGACAAAGGCAATGAAGGTCTCAACAGGAAGAAGATATTCCTTTTCTTTTCATAACTATTCATTACAACATACAGCATTTTGGGACATGGCTTCAGGATAAAACTTCCGAGGGCTCTGAAACCATTCAGGTAGAGTTTCACTCCTGGGAACCATGGAAGGCTAAGAATATCCCACCACAGGCCTAAGGAAGGTTGCCAGCTGACAGTCCATTTTGGCTACACATTAGAAAACGTGCCTGAAATCCTGATTTCCTGCTCTTTCTCAAACTTCTCTACTTATATGCACTAAGGAAAGGAAAACCTTTTCCTTCAGACCAATCACTAATTTAAAAGGGAGGGGTGTGTGTGTAATCAGAAGAAACAAGCAAGGAGAAAGAGGTAATCCAAGAACAGAGCAGAAATTTAGTCAGCTGGGTATACTCAACATGACAGAAACATCCTTGTATAATCATCACCTTGCCTCCAATCTTGCATTATATCAAAAATAATCGAATGCAATCGTTATCAATATCGTTATCTATTTGTAATACAAGCCTTTGATGTTTTAATTCCATCTTTGCTTAAACTGAAGCTTTTTTTCTCCAAATCATGCAGTGATTTTCCAGTTAAGTTCTGCATACAACCAGTCTGAAAATGCACCCAGGCTTCCTTTGAAGTTCTAATTTAAACACGGTCAGAAGATTTTGATATTAGCTGTATGATCATCTCAAGCAAATTGAAAATATTTCTTGACTGAGTCTGTGAAGGCAGCATATCTTGTGGTGCGGAATTAGACTTTTTGGCAAAAAAAGCATGTAAAATGGTTTGGAAAACAAAATGAGAAACTGTCTAGAGAACTTTTAAAATGTTTTTTAATCCTGCTGTCTATTAAATTAGTTTGTAATTAAAAATGCAAAGGATGCAAAACCCAAGAACTCTGTAAAAGCCTTATAAGAAAAGAAGATGCAGCAGAGCTGAAAGGAACATTCTCCTTCCAGAGATCTAAATACACTCCCAGTAGTGGTAACAGCAGGCAGAGAGGATCTCCGATATCTTTCATACAGAGCCACTGCTTGTTTACACGCAGAGCCAAAATGCAGCAACTATGTCCAACTGAACAAAAGCTAGCTTTGATGTAGAGTAGCAAGAATTCACTTGGAAATTTCTCAAAAGGCACTTACCCTTGGTGACACTTCTGTGCCTTTCTGGGACTGCTGTAAATCTTCATTGCCTTAAGCCAATCAGAATGCGCACCTTTAATTCCAGATCCTGGTGATAAAAGAGCAGAAGTATGAAAAGGGCAAGAACAATGCTGAGTATCATGGACACTATAGTACGTTGTTAAAGTATCAGCCTACTGGTAATACTGCATTGCCATACATCAGTTAGCAATATGTCCTTATTAAAGTATTCTAATGCAAAAGGTTCTGGCAAAACCTAATTTCAAATACATATATTCAGTGTGTTAAATGTAAGTATAAGCCAAGTTTCTTCAAAATGCCTCTAATTTATTGCCATTAGAAAAAGGTAGAAGTGGAAGAAACTGCTGATATGAGAAAAAATGTAACACATAATGTATGAGTTAAAATTTGAGGAAGATTGAGATGGTATAAGTCCACCTCAAATAATCCAATTCTTTACAATTAATTGGTAGCAAAAATGCAACAAGGCAAGAACCATGTAAACAAGTGGATTTCTTCTGCTTTTTCTTCTTGCACAGCAGTTGACAATATTTCAAGTCACTTTCTTCATTCTTTTCCTTTCATGGTATTTGGTTGTTAGCTTGATGACAAGATTCATAAAAATAAAACATGGAAGATAAACATTTGTGATTTTACTTAGCAGGAAACAGTTGTTGTAAACATGATCTAATAAAAATCAGTTTTTAAGAGGAAACTGAAAGATTAGCATCTAAAAATCTTAAACTAATGTAGTTTTAGTTGTTTTGTTTTGTTTTTTTTTTTAATAATTAAATTCTACTGAACTGGCAAAAGTCTTTTTATACAGATTAATAATCTAATTCACCTAAGCAAGTGAGGTGGTGAGACACAGGAACAAGTTGCCCAGAGCAGCTGTGGATATCTCAACCCTGGAAGTGTTCAGGGCCAGGCTGGACAGGGCTTTGAGCAACCTGGTCTAGTGGGAGGTGTCCCTGGCCATGGCAGGGGGGGTTGCAACTAGATGATCCCTTCCAAATCAGACCAAAGTGACAGTAGCTAAGTGACAACTCAATTGCAAGTTTATGTAAAGCTGAAGACTCAAAAAAAAAAAAAGCCCAACGAATTGAAATTTTATACAAAGGAGAAGACCCAAAAAAAAAAAAAAAGCCCAAAAAGCAAAAAAAAAAAAAAGAAAAAGTGGCAGCATTTGGCTATTCACGTGTAGGATTCACAAACTATACATTTTCTGCTGAATATTTAGATACAGAAAGTAAAAGCAACAACAGACCTTAAATAAAATAAAACAAAGAACAGAGAAAACTCAGTGGTTAATAAGCAACTAGACAGTGGTCTATTAAGATTTAAAGATTAAAGATTTAAACTTTGAAGAAGTGCTTGTGATTGCGAAAGGACTAATTTTATAAAATCTGAAACTAACCTTGCATGAAAGTACCAGGAATAGCAATAGTTTTATCTGAAGGAGCACAAAAGCCAGAGTCCTGAAAATAAAGCAGATTACACTGATGGAAAAACTCACATATTATTTCACGGTTTGCCTCAGAGGAAATAAGGGACTGATTTAACATTTAAATTAATGTCTAATGATTCCAATGGAACCCAATAAAGCTTAATTTGTTTGCCTCACCATGTCCATCTACGAAATGAATAAAGCATCATAATTTCAGGATACTACCTTAAGGAACAGGGTCACCGCATGAGATCATTTTAACCAGTGACACAGTCTACTAAAATCTAAGGAAATCTTCTACTGAGCATTTTATAACAATTTTTCAAGTTTATTAAACATAGTCAGCTTCCTCACATGATCCAGGAGACCTGCTACAACTTATATTCTAGGACATAACCCCCTCTCCAAAACCTCTAAAATACTTCTGATACTATTTGGTCAGCAGGGTTATGCTGTCACTAGTTTTAACAGCTTCCAGCTTAACCAATTATTTAAGCCCTTCTCTACATATCGGCAAAGAGTGCACGTTTTTTTCACAAGGTCCTTAAGTACCTGACTCTGACAGCTGTGACTGTCAAAAAGGCTGAGGTTGCTGCCATTGTCTGTGCTCAGAAAATCCATGCCAACTGTCTGAAGATTAACACTTTTCCTGTGAGAAACTTGTTGACATTGTGTTGAAGGAGAATAATGTGCTGGTATATGTTTCAGTCGCTTTACTGGTGAACAAAGTTGATCATTTAGAAAATTTCCTAATCTTTTAACTCTGGGAACTGCAGTTAAAGACCGAACAGGTGAGTTAACAAGAGCATTAACAGTGTCAGATAGCTGTATTACTTTATATTTCCTTAAATTTGAAGCTCTTTGAAACACAGGAAGTTTTGGAACAGCCTCACTACACAATTCCTCATAAATCCTGTCAAATTCTGTATCTGTATCAGACCTGATGGAATCACTTGAACTACTCTTCACTAATCTTCTTTCCCCTTCGAGATTCTGGAACTTTGAAAGAGGTCTTGTCAACACGAAAGGCTTTTGGATTTCTTTGGAACACAGTTGGTACAGTTTTTCAAATGCATCGTCATATATCTGAGGCATATACGAAGGACTCTGCTTCACAGACAATGAGGAAGATGAGTGCCTGCACTGGAAAGAAACTAGTCTTTCAAAAATTGTTTTTTCAGGATTTATGAGCAAAGTATTTGATGGTCTTGCAAGAGAACAGTTTGTGATAGGTTTAAAAGTGTTCCTATTGCCATAGGAACTGCAAGGAGATGACAACTCTGAGGTACCACCACAAGAAAAGCCAGTTTTCTGAGTTTTATTCTCATTAACCAGAAGCGGCACTTTTAACCCCGAACTGGCAGCAGGTGTTATAAAACGGTGTTCAAAGGATCTTTTGTAAGCCAATTTTTCACTTTCTTTGCCTTTTAAATTCTTCGGTGATGTAGTAGTCTGTAACTCATCTTCAGCTAGAAATCTCTCTCTCATTCCCGTCATATCAGTAGGAAAAACAGTCTGTTCGGAGACTTTTTGGCCTTTTCCAGATGCAAAATGATGTTCTGAACTTAAGTCAGAGTAGCCCACTTTGATTTCATTTGTATCAATGTAAGAAGAAGGTACCAGACCAGATAAATTATTACTGGAACACCTGGCAGCACAAAGTTTTCTGTTCTCATTTCCAAAAGTCTGATTCTGGATGTCTTCACTTCTACTGCTGCATATGCTGGGTAGTGCCCGCTTCAGTTTAGGAGGCCTGAACCCTCTTATTTTGTCTACTGTGACACTGAGCGTTGGTCTTCTAGAACAACATCTTTTGTGCCGTAAGTATCCAAACATGGATGCTTTTCTCCGAGACTGCTTTGTCATAAACCTTTTAAGCACTTCTACCATCGCTGGATACAAGTCTGCAAGAGTTGCATCGCCCCAGGAGCTTTCCTCATGTGCAGACTGGTGGTTTTCCAACAGACTATCACAGCAAGTTTCATTTGGTTCTGGAAAAGGTCGGTGCCTGGGTATAGTTAACTTATCTGGTGAAATGGGAACACCAGAAAGTTGCAACTGTAGAGGTCTGGATGAAGAACATTGAGCTGATGACTCCACTCTTTTGCTGCAAACAGCGACTTTGTTGCCTATTCAAAAAGACAAATGAATTGCAAAACAAAAGCAGAAGAAAAAAAACAACAACGAACCTATTAGGACACTTTCAGTAACGCATTACATAGACATCAATTGCATGGGGTACAGATAGCCTTACTGTAATAGCGTATTTCATTAAGCTTTTTTTGCCAGACTAAATAGATGATCAACATACAATCCATTAGGCAAAAATTAAGACTTTTCCTAAATGTACTGAATTAAGAGACTACGGAAGATAGAAGTTTTGCAGAAAAAAACCCCAAACAAAAAAGTACTTAAAGATAGCTTAATATATATATAGATAATATTTTCATTGTAGAGGAAGACTGCTTGGCTTTTTGTGATTTCTGACTAGGAGGAACAGCATTATCCTATAGGTTTTTTTACTCTATTTCCACATTCCTTGAAATCTTTGTACTCGGCTAGTACTAGTGCAGCTTTACTTGCCATAAAGCACAATGAAGATAGTGTTTTTTTGTGGTTGTTAGGCTGGAAATGTTGCGATTTTTCAAAGGGAACAGAAATATTTACAACAAAATTTTATCTTAGGTTTACATCAAGTCTGAAGAGATTCTGAAGAAAGAAATTTTACTTTCAGTACCAGTTACCAGCAGACTCCAAGACATTCGTTACATTTCTTGTATTTAAAATAAACAGAACCAAAAAATGATGCTTCCATTTAATTAAGCTTAAAGCTGCTGAACTTTGTATCTACATATTTATTTTGCCTGGGGCATTTAAGAAAAACTGGTTTTATGTATACAAAGTATTTGTTTTCTATTTTTCAAATACATTTTGCCATAAG